CACCTACCGCCCCCCCACCCCCACTGCATGATGGAATATAGCATCCAAGGAAGCCTGCACGGAGCAAAGCCCACTGGCCTCGTTTTTGCGTGAAAGGAAGAGAACGTCACACTGAACGCAGCGCTCGTCAGGCAGCCGCCGCTCTCCCCAGACATCCTTCTCCTCCTCCTCCTCCTCCTCTTCTCCACAGAGGTAATCCTTGCTGACACAAAGGACTAAAACGCTGGCCGCCTCCTCCTCCTCCAGCAGCAAGCCGTTTTCTCTCCTCTTCCTCCTTCAGTCCCGATCCTTCCACCGTTAAACCCGCGCCTCTGCACGGCGGGATGCTGTTCCGATAGGACCACTCKCATCCCCCGGAATACCTGCTCCTGGAATCGCCTCCTCCTCCTCAACCGGTTCACTCAGGAAGAGCATCACAACAAGGCTTTTTTTTAAAAAAAATTCTCCTGCATTTTTGATTCATTGATTTATTTTTTTGCACTTCTCTCGGATCAGGTAGTGACTACCCCCCCACCCCCATCTTTGTCTGATGCATTCATGTAGCAGGATATCAGAGCTGCTTCCTCCGCCTGCTGCTGCTGCTTTTAATCATCCTGCTGCACGTCCCTCACCAACAGGTAAAGCAGCCAAACAAGACGTGCTCTATTTTCAGTCTCGCCTAATGCTTTTTAGTTTTAGGTCATCATCAATGTAAACCTTGTTTTGTTTTGTTTAAAGAAGTGTGATTAGAAACACTAGTTGTAAAACAGAAATAGGTCTACATAGATTTGCATCGTTTCTTATTGCCTGGAAGGTGGGGACGACCAAGTGCAAAAGCAGCACACGTGCAGCTGGTGCGGCCGTGCTGCTACACATGTTGGTGTAGTCTGTAGTAAAGCTCAAAGGTGTGCTTAGCAAGCAGATCCCTCTGCGGCTCGTGTGATGATTTAAATTCAAAACACATTTTCGAGTTTTGTATCAAATGTAAAGTCAAAAAGGAGGACGAAATGTGTAATCGTTTCAGTGAAAACCAAAGCATTTGTGTGTTGAAGTGTTGCCTTTTATCTAAAGTAAATCAAGATGTTCTTATCAGGAAGCTTAATAGTTTTAGAGGTGAAAGTGTTCTTGGTTTTGCGCGCTTTTGTGTGTCTGTTAGCAAAATATATCACGAACCACTGAACAAAGTTATATGAAACTACGAACTGACCCGAAAAACAAAACTGTCCATAACTGCTGATTTTAAAACTATTGCTCTAAACTAATCTTTGGATGTAATTAATCTACAACTGATTATCTTTTGGAGTCAACCCAAATGAAGACGGCCGCCGCAGTTAACTGACTTTAAAATAAACAAATTCATTAAGGTTGAATGATTTGGTAGTACCGGTAGCTGAAAAGGATGAACACTTTTATTCTGAGTGTGAAAATTAATATTTAAAAATGTGCATGACATTTTTATGAAGGTTTGACCAAATTGGGTACAACTCACTCATTTTTTTCAAAATAAAATGATCYTATTAACTCAGGCATGACATTTGGTGGGTGGTGTGTATCGCTTTAAGGAATACTGGGCCTTTAAATAAAATAAAATCAACTAATGTATAAATAGTGTCACTCACAGAAACTGTAAGGGAAAAAAACAGCAGCAAGCTTCTCTGATTTGTTTTTCTGACGTCACAGAAAGTACGGTGGTCACGGAGGGTCAAATACAGCACACATAAACAAAGATTTCATTTCAGATGTTAAGTAAGCCTGTAACCAGACATATATTGTTCCTCTTCTAAACWTTTTTCTCTACCTTACCTGAAACCCCCCCGCCCCAGATAAGCCATCAGGCTTATCCAGTTTTGTGCAACAAACCAGAACTAAGAGAAATATTTGTCATAACTTGCACAGCCTCTTATCTCTTCGTCTTCTTTGTTATATGATCCCAAAACTGTGTGAGCAGTTGTAGTTTTCTAAATCAGTGCAAACATTTGCTACATTGCATTGCAGTTCTGTTTTAAAACTGCTGCAAAAATGTAACGCTTCAAACACTGAAGGAATCCGAGTGAGACTTAAACGAGTTTGAGTGGAAGTCGGTGAGGATGAGAAGCCTCGTGAACAAGCAGCAACATGTGACCCATTATTGACGCTTTACTTGATGTCTAAGCCGGTGCTGACAGCTCCGAGTCTGACGGGATCGTTCAGAAGCCGAGTCGGACGAATCGAGCTCGTTTTACAAGTGATTAGCATCGAACTGATCAAAGCTCTCCGCACTCACACCGACGCGACAATGACCATTATTTACCAGGGTAATGTATTTATCTAAAGCAAAGTCCTTTCATAGTTGTCTTTCATTTGTTTGCCCAGCTCAGCCCATTTCCCCCCACAGATAAGGCATCCAGCTCGTACAGTCCTTCAGTAACATCTCACAGAAGAAGAGGGAAAAAAAATATATCAGAGATGGGAAAAAAACAGCATGTTCTAAAGTAAAGATCAAAGTTCACAGCTAACCAAATAGTGAAGCCGAGCCAGAGAGGGTTCAGTTCGATGCTGGCTTCACAGAGCTGCTGATTCCAGAGGGTCCGGGGATCCTAAAGCTCGGGAGACGAGAAACTGGAGCACGGTTTCTGGCATGTTCAAAAGTGGTCTGAAGATCATGGGGAGTGAGTATGATAATCCACGATAATGCAATACGATAATCCCATCAAATTTCTACTGAGGGGTTTAAGTGTGTGTTTTAAAAGGCTTTTGGGATTTACTTGTTTTGACATGAACAATAGTTATTTTGAAGTCTTTAATGTTTTTGCTGTGGTGATTAGGCTTTGAAAGGATGCTTCTTGGTGGAAAAGCCGAAACATTGTTTCATTTAAATTGTTGATTTTTTTTGTATTCCACACTAAAAGTTATTTTTAGGATTGATTTGTTGATCGTTTACAGTTTGAAGTGATGACGGCTTTTCTTTGATTTGAAATCTTTCTTTTAGGCTTTATATTTGTTATGATGAAAATTCTGAGCACAAGTTATTTACTTGGACTCTGTATTGATTTTCCTGAAGGTCCTTCTGCCACTAGATGGGTTTGACATGAGCCAGTTTCAGCAAGTTTTTACTTTTTTTCTTTTTTTAACCAAGGCTGTGGAGTTAGCTTGCAGAATTCTTATGTGCACATTATGTAATTCTAAGCCTGTGCAATTTTTAAAAAAATAAATAAATTTTAGGAGTAATTATTGTGGTTGTAAGCCATTAAGACCAGGAGTCAGAAGGCAGTCAAATACTTGCTGCTTTAAACTGTAGTACATGGCCTGTGCTTATTTTCCCATTTTCTGCTCTGTTACCATCATCAGAAGGTAGATCTGTGGAATCTCGCTGGATGAGATGTTGTGTTGGTGACACAAAATTGTGAGAAAATAGGTGGAATTTTCAATGCAGTGCACTGAATTGTCCATGACCTGTGGTGTGCTCACATTTATGTGACTATTTCTTGAAATCACGTTTTATGTTTTGCGTGCCTGCCTCACAAATTTGTATTCTAGGACACGCACATTATTTCATTTTCCACCTCCAACAAAATTGTACCACCTTTTCTGGCTTTTTTTTTTCCACCTTAGTTGCTGCCACCATTAAGATTTGATCTGCTGGAGTGCACTTTATAAATACAGATTGGGAGATTTGGTTGGAGGAACAATGTGGTTCCATCCTGGCCATGGAACATTGGACGAACTCTTTACCCTCACTAGGGTTCTCAAGGGGTCATGGGAGTCTGCTTATCCAGCCTACATATTTTTTGTGGACTTGGAGAAAGCATTCAACCATATTCCTCAAGGTACACTGTGGGGGGTGCTACGCAAGTATGGGATTGTGGGTCCGTTGTTACGGGCCATTCAGTCTCTATATAAGTGGTGCGAAAGTTTGGTTCGCTTTGACAGTATAGTAAGTTGGACCCCATCAAAGTGGGAGTTGGACTCCACCAGGGCTGCCCGTTTTCACAGACTCAGTTCATAACTTACATGGACAGAATTTCTCGGTGCAGCCAGGGGGCTGAGGGAGTCCGGTTCAGTGGCCTCAGGATTTCATCTCTGCTGTTTGCAGGTGATGTGGTTCTGTTGGTGTCATCGCGCCAGGATCTTCAGCTCTCACTGGAGCAGTTCACAGCCGAGTGTGAAGCGGATGGGATGAGGATCAGCACCTCTAAATCTGAATCCACCGTCCTCAGTTAGAAAAGGGTGGATTCCTCTCTCCGGGTTGAGGATGAAGTTCTGCCTGAAGTGGAGGAGTTCAAGTATCTTGGGGTCTTGTTCATGGGTGAGGGAAGAATGGAGCGTGAGATTGATAGATGGATCGGTGCAGCTTCTGCAGTTTTGCAGACTCTGTACCGGTTTATTGTGGTGAAGAGGGAGCTGAGCTCTTTGTTTACCGATCAGTCTACGTTCCTACCCTCACCATATGGTTACGAACTTTGGGTAGTGACCGAAAGAACAAGATCACAGATACAAGCGGTCAAAATGAGTTTTCTCCACAGGGTAGCTGGACTCTCCCTTAAGAGATAGGGTAAGAAGTTCAGTTATCTGGGAGAGACTCGTAGAGCTGCTGCTCCTCCACATCGAGAGGAGCCAATTGAGGTGGTTTGGGCATTTAGTAAGGATGCCTCCTGGACGCCTCCCTAGAGAGGTGCTTCAGGTATGTCCAACTGGGAGGAGACCTCGAGGAAGACCCAGAACTCRCTGGAGAGACTATGTATCTCGACTGACCTGGGAACGCCTTAGTCCTCCCAGAAGAGCTGGAAGAGGTGGTTGGGGAAAGAGAGGTCTGGGCTTCCCTGCTCAAGCTGCTGCCTCCGCAACCCAACTTTGGATGAAGTAGAAGATAATGGATGGATAGATTTGGTTCAGTTTTTAAAAATTGTTTTTTAAGGCGTAAACAGGGTTTCTGTCATAGAGCTCTTCTGCAGGTGTCAAAATACATCTCAAGTGTGCTTGAGACAAATTCAATATGGCAGCTCTGACTATCTGAGAGAAAATTTGCTACATTTTTTAAAAAATATGCTCTGTGAGAAGTTTGTGTGCACATGCTGCAACTCATGAGAGGAACTGGAGACTCTCTTCTGGGTCATTCTTCTTTTCTGTTGTTTAAWTTAGGAAGACAAAATGTTTGTTGGGTTTTACTGTCTTGACTCTGAAGCATTTCTTCAGTGTTGCAACAGTTTTTTCAGCCATTATTCCCTCTTGCTCTCACAGCTCCGTCGTCTCTGTCTGGCACTCTTTCTTAGTGACTGTGGGACTGTCAGGATCACAAAACCATTACAGCACTTTATTTTGCACTGTCTAGTCTACCGATGCAAACCTATACTTTCCACTAAGTGACCCTTTTGTCACATAAAGTGCTGATCAGTTTTACACTGCAAAAAATAGATCATTTGAAGCGTYGCACATAAACCAGATGGAATGCTCTTTGATCAGTGCTCACCATTATSACAGTATTTTTATTATAAACTACTTAGATAATTATTGTAGACTTTTTTTCATCTTTCAAGTTATTATTACCTGTTGCTGAAGGCTGTTTGTGTGTATTGCAAAACAAAGTTTGACCACTGGCAAACCTATAGAGAAACTTTCAAAAGTAACAGCTGGATACACATTTACAGCCCAATATCTTATACAGTCAGTCCAGTTAAAAATGGCCGCCACAGCTATTCGACACTAGCAAACACAAAAAAGGTTACAACTCTGTCTGCTTTACTGATACTGAGCAAAAACCAGTTGTTGCAGCTGAGAGTCATTCACAACAGGTTGTCTGAGCTCAGCAACTCTCAAGATTTTGTATGAGATCATTGTTTACAAAAACGGTTGTAGCTCCACCCCTTTTCATCACAGTAAACGTCACATTCATAGATGACCCACGAATTGCGAAAAAATGCGAATAATAGACGTGGTTAAAAAAAAGGTCTGTCATTTTGAGAGCTTAAACCCATATTTGCTCCCAATACAAAACATACACAGCATTCATTGAAGTTACCATATTTATTCAAGCATAATACGTAAAATTTAATCCATAAAATCATTCATAAAGTTGGGGGGGTAGTATTA